GATCTCTGTCATCTGGAGATCAATTGTAGCAGTGGGAGATCTCCAGGTCCCACCTGGAGATTGGCAACCCTATGGGAAAGTCAACTGCACAGCAGGGGGTTGAAGAGAATGGTTTGATGGCTGCTGGGCCAAGATTGGCAACAATAGTTCCCCAGGAGCCCCATCGTAAATGCACCAAACAATTCCTCAAGATTTTCCTAAACACTACTCTGTTTTGGGCTCCTGGGGAACTTTGTAGTAGCACCAAAGCTTTAAGATCTCTCCAGCTGTCACCTGGAGACTGGCAACAGCTTGTCTGGAGTGTGGGCAGCATGGCATTGTATCTGTCTGAGGACCCCCTCTTCCTCCTCCTCCTCAGATCCCACCCTCAGCAGGCTTCATCCCTAAAATATCCTGGAAGTTTCCAACCTGGAGTTGGCAACCCTATGTCCTGGAGTTCGAACCTGGAGTTGGCAACCATCAGCCAACGTTTATCTGCCTGTTAGCCAGTGTCTTCCGAGTGGCAGTTTTTTCGGCCTAACACTAAAGGGGCCAATTTTAGAATTCTGGCACCCACTACTCTTTTATAATAAGGGAGAGATACGCACCTCATCAAATATAATGTATTTGATCCTTTTTACCCATGCTTGGCGATGAGGGGAGAGCATCAAGATTTCCAAACACTGAGGTACTGTCACTAGTATCTATTTTTAAAAAATAGTTTCTTCTATTAATCTCAAATGGCAAAAACATGTCTCAGCACTAAACATTAAGGACTGGATCCAAACAAGGGTGTTAGGTCTAAAGGTGCTCCTCAGCTCGAAGCAATACTTGTTAACAGAAATGGTCTTCCACAAGTCACTGGTGGCAACTCACACTGGAGTTATGGTTGTTTATTTGAAAATAAATACATAAGTAAACATTTGTATCTTTGATTACTATATATATATAATAAAATAAAAAGTAATCAAATCATATATATCATATGATGACAGGAAAAAGTGGTGATCACTTTGAGGCATCTACTGATGAAGGGAGTTCACTTAAGCCAGTTGCTTATCAGCCGTGTGGCCAGGGCAGCATGGGGAAGTGGCTCCCTTGGTGCTGGGGAATAGTCAACTGAATATGCCAGTTGCTGTATGGCCTGGGGAGGGGGGGATGTTGACTCAGTACCTCTGTAGAGAAAATAAATAAGTACTGTGCCAAAAAACGATGTTCTTGCGATTTTGCTTTGCTTGTTAAAAAAAGAAGACAGATAAATGTTTTGCCAAAAGAGGGGGAAACGAGAGAGAAAATAAATTATCTTGCAAGAGCAAAATAATCCTTCCATAAGTAGAAGGGAATCTTTTGATAAAATATAGTTTAATAAGATCGTGTAACAGGGGCATAGAATTGGCAAGAGGTGGGCGGGCCGTGAACGGAGAAAGTATCTCAGCAGATGTGCCCTTCACAGAAACACTTTTCTTGCCAATCAATAGGACTGGACTATTAAAATAATTGATGAGTTTGATATACATATAACTTTTTTCTCCCATGTGCCAGAATGACCCACATGCCACTCATGATGCAACATATCTACAAAAATTGCTCATGGAGTTGGCATGTGAAGGTGTGTTGCTTAAAAAGTGTGTAGTGTTTGCTTTTATATAGGCACCAATCTCAATGGTGAGGATCAGTATACACAGAGAAAAGCCAAAATTCAAATATGAGGCATCTCTTTGAATCAATAATATTCGATTTTATTGTTAACACCACTTTAAATTAGAAGCAATATTTTAGGTGATCAGCCAGTTTCTAGAAAAACAGTTTACATTTATCTTGCATTGTTACAAGACATATACTATACCTGGCAATTCAAGGCATCATGGCGATAATCCCTTGTAAATACGCCACACACCACGAATCCATCAGGCATTTTTTTAGAAAAGCGATTCTGTACTGTTGCTGCCACTTGGTTTACAAGAGCCTAGTCATTAACAAAAACATTCTTCGTTAATTAATGATTTCCTAAGATATAATCAGTGGCATCAAATCAGTAGCATCATATCTTTTTTATTTAGCACATTTTCAAAATTTATTTCAACATAAGCTTTCATGAGTCAGAACTCATTGCATCAGATGCACTGGAGTGTGAACTCATCAGTCCAATTTATCTACATATCAGAAAGGGTACCCCCTCCTTTCTGATGTATGTATAAATTGGCCTGATCTGATGGTCTGACTCACTAAAGCTTATGTGGGAATAAATTTTGTTAGTCTTGAAAGTGCCACTTAACTCTTGTTTTATTTTGCTACCTTTCTGAAATATTCCTCATGGAACTGGCCCCTCACCTAGTCCCTTTAAAAAGTCTAGGAATTACCGGTAAATAGCAGAAATGTGGAAATCGTTTATATTGTAACATCAGTAACATCAGCAGTAGCACAATGAAATGAGGAGCGTGAAAGGGTTTCTTCATTCCAACTGTTCTCTACCTTGACTGCAGCTTCTTCTTTTTTTCACTTAAAGGGAGCTGAACCAATTTCACTTGTGCTTCCAAACGCAAGTCTCCTTTTCTCCTTACCACAGCTAATTCAATGAACTTTCAAGGTGTAGCCCATTTTTGGACTTACAGGCTGCTGCAGAGCTGAGATTGTTCAATGAGTACCCCATATCAGCAAAAAATAAAACAAACAGTTCTCAAAAACTGTTCTACAAAATGGGGGAGCTCGTCTTCCAGTGAGCACCCATGAAATTCATATTGCTACAATCAACGCTCCCTCTAAACTGTGGGGTCTTGTGAGCAAAAATTCTACTTTGTGAGCTACTGGCATTAAAGTTGTGAGCTAGCGATTTGGCTACTGCATAAATTAGTTTGCTCTGAAGCCATCGTTCCTGAGCTAAGACAAAAATGTGTGAGCTGGAGGCTAAAAAACTGAGCTAGCTCACACTAACTCAGTGTAGAGGGAACACTGGCTACAATCCATACAATACCATGGTACTTTAAATGCTGGCAAAATGGGATAAACTTGTAACAATAGTTAAGATGCAAAAAAGTCAAGAAGTTTGTATTTGCCAGGTAAAATTAAGTAAAGTTCTAGGTTGCATGGCCTGTGTCTGAGCTTCTTTCAATTATTTTTAATGAACATGTTTTTTGCAGAAGACTGCATTCTTTTTTTTTTATGCCCCCCGTACGGGATTTTTTATTGCCTTTTCTATAAACTACAATGAAATTTGGGAGGGGGTCTTCAAACTATAGGAGAAAGTAAAGAAAACCCACTAAAAACCCAAGAGATGGTAATCATACATACTGCTTAAAAAGTTAGCTTTAAACTCAGTGTTCAATTCAAGTTCATTGAATGTGGTCATCTAATAATCTATTTAAACTGAAGTAAAAATTTAAACACCACCATATCTGACTTCTTAAAGAGCAAAATAAGTAATAATTATAACAAAACCTTGTAAGAGATTTCAAAGTGCAATAACATCTCAACTTTTATACTTTTTTCTTTCTTAAGTGTTAGCTTGTCTTTGGGGCTGCCGCCCCCAGTTTAGAGTCTGAGTTCTCATCTGCTCCTTCTTCTTCACTTTCTTTGGTGCTGTCTTCTTCCTCCTCCTCTTCTTCTCCTGCTGGACGACTATGTTGATGCAGAAATTCACGTGCCTTTTCAACAGTCATTTTTTTCTTTCTTGTCCATAAATTTGAATCTTTGGGTACAATCCATCTGTAGGGAATGTTGTTCTTCTGTAGGAATAAAACCAAGTCTCTATATTTTCTTCTTTTCCTTTTTATTTCAAACGGAATGTCCTTCAACACTTTTATTTCTTTGACCTTGATTTTCAGGGTAGTTCCATTTGTCGCTTTGAAAATTTGATCTCTCACTTGTCTTCTGGAGAATCTTACCATAACTTCCCCTGACAGATTATTCTTTCATGTAAATTCTGAATATGACCTATAGATCATAACAATTTCGCTTTGTAATGTATCCCTTTGTATATCTGCCAAGGGGCCTAAAGCCTCGCACATAGTCTGTTTCAGATTCTCTCCCTTCTCTTCCAGAACACCTTGAAATCTTAGAACATAGCTTGCTCTTTCCATTTGTAGCTGTAACAAATGAGACTCCTCCATCATTCTCTTTTTCTCCATCACCTGCAGTTGTTTTTTGAGCTTCTTGGTGTTGGCATCCACTTCTTTCAGCTCTTGCTCAGTTTTTTCTGTTTTTTTACTATGTCAGTTAATTGAGTCTCCTGTGCATCAAGCTTATGGTGCAATGCCATAACTTGTTCCAGCAGAGGGTGCAGTGCTTCAGTCATCATCTTTTGCAGCTCTGTAGTTGTGTCCTGTCTAGGCACAGAACTTGCTGGGCTGGCAGTTCCGGCAAGAAGCTTAGGTTTCACTCACTTATCGTTCTCATCCTTCCTTGTGGACACCATGTTTGGGGATTGTTTACTTTTTATAAAAGTTATTGCAGTCTCTGACACTCTTAAATCCGCCTGGTAAGTTCTTAAATGCTCTTTATTTCAATCCGTCTTTCTTCATTAGCCCACCCCCCTTTTCGTAGTAGCTCAAAGTTCACTCAGTTTTTCTTAGCGGGGGAGAGTTCCCTTCCCCCCTTCGCTTTCAAAGGGGAGGTTTTCAGCTAGTTCTTCGGTGTTTCTCGCTTAGACATTAACTCACATTTCAACGATAAGTCCGCTTTTGTTTTCAATTCACTTGGCCACCAAACACTTGCTCTGGTGTGCGTTTTCTAGTTCCCATTTGGGATGCTCTGCAGCGGGACCTTCAGGGCATGGAGTAGCCCCCCTTCGCTGGCAGGGTCGCCAGGGGAAGGGCTCTCTAGTGCCCCATGGCTGGGAGCCCAACGTGAGGGCTCCAGGGGTGGCGCACACAGTTGTGCCCCCTCCCAACCGCGGGCTCTGACAGCCGTCTCCCAGAGTTGCAGGAAAAAGCGACCACCATGGCGAATGCCAAAATCCGGAAAAAGAGGCCAGAAGACTGCATTCTTGAGTGGAGGAAGACTGCAGAAAGAAGAGGCTGCCCAACATTTTATTCTCCTGCCATGTTTCAACTCTGAAGTTACCTCTGATGACTGTGGTTCTACCAAAGGATAGAGGAATGTTACAAATAACCATATTTTTTCCTTCCTGGAGAGAAAAGCAGCTTTGACTGATGACTAGGATCGAAGTGGCTGGAGGGGAACGGTTTAAGAATCACTTCTTCTTCCACAGCTGTTTTTGGCTACAAAAATATTTTGTGGGGTCATATGTGTACCATTTCAATCTAAAATTTAAGATCTAAATCTAAGTCCTTAGTATGGTTTTACAGTAATCTATACCAGGAGGAGGAGATTGGATTTATACCCCACCCTCCACTCAGAGTCTCAGAGTGGCTTACAAACTCCTTCCCCTCCCCACAACAGACACCCTGTGAAGTAGGTGGGGCTGAGAGAGCTCTTTCGAGAACTGCCCTTTCAAGGACAGTTCTGACAGAACTATGGCTTGCCCAAGGTCATCCAGTAGCTGCAAGTGGAGGAGTGGGGAGTCAAACCCAGTTCTCCGAGATTAGAGTCTCTGCACTTAACCACTACACCAAACTGGCTCTCACACCAAACACAATCTCACACCAAATACAATCTAAGACACTGTACAAATTTTTACACAAACATTAAATGTTTGATCTGTGTATATGAAACTGTATAAGTTTTTAAACATGTCATGGGTTTATTCATCTAACAGATATATATATATATATATATATTGTTTAGTGTTTAAACATGTCATGGGTTTATTATATATATATATATATATATATATATATATATTGTTTAGTGTTTCCAAAATCATACCTTTGTGGGAGACACATACACAACTACTCCATCATTGCTCTCTCTTAAGATTTTCTCCATGCAATAGTAGGATGCGTAGGTTTTTCCTGATGAAGTAGGCGCAACAATGACTGCAGACTCATTATTGTCTACCACATCCAAAAGCTCTCGCTGCATTTGAAAAATGGTATTGCAATTAAATTAAGGATATAGACTTTTAAAAAATAACATTTTCAATTTATACTGCCCGAGTGTAGTATTCCCTGTTTCACTACTCCCCAAATGATGATAACAATGGACAGGAAACTTAGATCACTGTGGGAACCCCATTATAAGTTCCTCAGATGCTATGCTGTCTCTGTTTAGACCAAAATTTCCTGAACTACAAATACAAGATGCCCCATTGCTAACATCTAAAAGATTCATAATGCTAGTTGTACAGCACCACCATCCTTTTCGACAATGTTTGTTTAGTCATAGTTGAGCAAAGATGGATGTCACATGAACAAGCTTCAGTTTTCTACTTAAAACAGTGAAATAATGGAGACAACTCTGCAAGCACCTCACATCTAGGTGAATTTTAAAAAGAAGAAATGACTAAACGTCACTTAACCACAATGAAGAAGGATAGTGTGGAGCATGACTTATTATGGAGAAAAGCTTAATTAACTTTGACTTTCTTAGGCATCAAATCTATTGTGCAAGTGTCTCCAGAAACAATATGGAGCTAGTGCCATATAATGCCTACAAAGGCTGAACTATGAATCAGGAACCACTGGCTCATACTTTATCTCTTCCATGAACTCACTCTCTTTTATCTCTTCCATGAACTCATTCAATTTTGCAGAATAGTCTGATGTTGAGAAATAATGGAAATAATCAGACTATTCTGCAAAACTGGGGTTACTATTACAAGGTTACGACATGGAAATTCAAATTCCCCTGTGACTAGAAAAGGTCTGCTGGCAGATGAATATCCTCCTACTTTTGTTAAGTCATTCCTGCATTTAATTCAAGTCCTGCTAATCTAAACAGTAGCATACATGTGGTTAGTTACTGTAGAAACTTCACTGCACAGATAAAGTCTGGATCAGCATGGGAACCCAATTAAATTCATTGGATACTGTGCCATTTGTTTCTACCAAGATTTTCTGGACTGCACATATTAGATGTCCATTTGCTGAGTTGTAAAATGTTCTTCCACAACCCAAGTTGTAGAGAATCCTGCCTATAAAGCATAAGGCAGGAACAAAAGACAGTTTTTAAACATAGGGCATGTAAAGCAACAACAATTGAAATGAAAAGTTTATGATGTGAATTTTTAAGTAAGTATCACATTAGTTGCTATCTTTCAAAATCATGGGGATATTTTAACATTAATTTCACATATTGTTACCTGCCATGTGTCCGGTATAAAATGTCGTACTCTGAGATCTGGATCCGTCCTCTCATCTCTGAACAAGTAGTGACCCATATACTGCAGCTGAAATCGAGCTGCTCCAATTCCTAATGAATACTTGGCAAGCTTCTCGTGAGATTCCACTGTCTACAAAATAAGAAAATAACTATACTCACAGCAAATTAGAAACCAAATAAAATGGCCACTTGTTTTGTTTTGATGTAACTTTGAGGTCTATGATGAATTCCATGGAGGGAAAATCTCATCACAGAATAATAATGCAACATAGTTGAACTCTGGGGCTAGATGAATAGCTTCCTAGTTACCCAATGAGTCCTGAACTTTGGGAGGTTAGCACTATAGCACAATTGCTCTGGCTCTTATTGTTTATGACTAACAAGCAGGTGAGCTAGACGGTCCAATGTAGGGTGAGGGGTATATTTCTCCCTGTATAGAAATATTGATTTCTGAAAGCCTCCTGCCTTCTCCTGTGATATCTTTCTGATAACAGGCTGTGCCTTGTTTCCTGTGAAGTCAAATTTCCTGTGAAGTCCATTTGGCCAGAGAAACTTTATAACCATGTGATATAACCACACATGCTTTCACACCTCTAAGTGGAAGAGGCAGACCTGATGGCTCCTGCCCTACATGCAAGTAGTCATGTAGCCCATGAGGTACCTGGAAATTAGGTCAATTGCTTGCCGGCATGGCCTCCAAACTCCTAGCCATTCCTGTCTTGCAGCTATGGCAACCAACAATGGACATACCCCATTCCCAGTCACAATCGGCTCCTGGCCAGGGCTAATTTGTGACTGGAATTGGACTATAACTGTTGGGAAGCTGCACTAGAGATGGAGAATACTTAATGAGATGTATCTCATGACCCTGATTACACCAATTCTATGGTAATATAAATAGTTAGGGACTCTACCCTATTCAGTTTAGAGTCCTTGGAGATATGATTGACTGAGTTTAGAAAAAAATGCTTCTTCTCTGATCCTAATTAACTCCACAATTGGATTTTAATTTCAAAGTAATAAAAAACCCTTAAAAGCTTATGACATTCTGGATGACTGAAGCAGCAAACAGGAGTCACGGAATGTGCACTTCACAGCATGCACCTACCCACTTATAAGATACTGGCTGTTACAGACTCAAGCAAGCCAATTTCCCTTTCTCATTCTGTTATCTTTATTTCCTTTTAATGAATTCTCATTTGTCCTCAACATTCCATGCGTCTTGAGGGGCAAGCGTATGCTTAGCAGTCACTGGGACATTTGGGAATGTTTTATCTTCTTTTAATTTACATTAGTATTTGTCTGTATATCTAAGGGCTCTCCCAAGTATGCCACTATCTTGTCTGTGCAAAGCCCCATTTTGTGACATCATCTGACAAGATCATCAGGTTCACTATTAGAAAGAATAAGTAGGGGCCCCTCAAGGAATAATGGAGGGGGATCATTTGAAAAGCCCTCCCCAAAATTTCCTCTTCCATAATTTTATTAATTATCCTCTGCTTCTTCCTTTAACCAATTCTGAAATAAACATTCCATACATCCTGGAACACATTCAGCCCTCATTAGGCCATTTTTTCCCCCTTTTTGTTAATTTATGAAGGGGGTATAGTTTAGGAGTCAGCTATAATCACAGAAGGCCCAATCTTGCTTGTTTTGATGCTTTCATGATTGGCATGAGCCACCCAATTTACTAGTAGATATCAGCCCTTTGCAGACATTAAGTTATGATGCTCCAACCATGTACAACAGGACCATACACTGCCCATGCACAGCTTGTGTGAATAGGACAATGAACATATTTTCCATGTGCATATAGCTTTAGTATATGTGAACTTATCCCCTCAAAAACCTGACATTCGTTTCACGTGTATTGAAGTTGTACATGCATGGAAAATATATATTTTCTCCTTTTCATGTGTTACCATTGTGTATGGTTCGTTGAAGTGCTAAACTCAAACATCAGAAAAAGGCAATATTAATGACAATGATGCAAGGGAAACCCATGAAAACTTTTTCACTTTATTTGTTTTAATTGTATCCTTTTTGGTTACATCTCTCCCGCCCACGCACCTGATTGTAAGTTAACAAATTTGTTTAAAATTTCAAACACTGATCAGTAGGGATGGGCACAAACTGGGAAAATGCAGTTCAGTTCATTGTTCATGGTGTGCCCAGTTCACGAACCATGAACTGTCACAAACTTTTATGCTACAAGTGAACTGGTTTGGTTTGTGAGGTTAATCAGCAGAATGCCCCCCCCCAGTGAGCTAGGGGCATCAAACTCACAAGAGATCTCTGTCTGACTCTCCTCTACCTGCCCTCCAAGTTTGGAGATGATTAGACTTATGGGGTCTGAGGTACAGTCCCCAAAAGAAGGTGCCCCCAGGAAAGTGCTTTCTGAGGAAAAGACAGGTGGTCCTTTTGACAGGCGTAGGTTCAGGAGTTTCAGGAGTGTACAGAACGGTTCCTGTGCAAGCTAGAGACATCAAAGTCACAGGGGGCCTCCCCCAGATGTATCCTATGATCCACAAGTCCTTTCCTGGTCCTTTGAGCCAGTCCACTGTACTTCCTTTATAATTAACTTGAAATGAAATACCCTTGATTTTTTAAAAAATTATTGGACTTGTATCCCATCCTCCCCGCAGAGCAAGCTCAGGGCAAATTCCATCAGACACAATAACCAATATACAAAGAATTAAAAACAATTAAAAACTCAAATAAAATACAACAACATTCCTCTGGTACAAATCATAGTCAAAACCTCACAGATGCAATCTATTTTAAATTTGGGTCCTTAGATGATAATACAAATCTGACACACTGAGGGAAGGCCCAGTAGAGAGGGGGAACACCTGTCATCCTAACGAAAAGCCTGGTGGAAGAGCTCCATCTTGCAGTCCCTGGGGAACTGTAGAAGGTCCTGCAGGGCCCTGTTGTCATGTGGGAGCTCATTCCACCAGGTAGGGGCCAGGGCTGAGAAGGCCCTGGCCCTAGTCAAGGCAAGACAGACATCCCTGAGGCCGGGGACCACTAGAAGATGTTGGTTGGCAGATCATAAAGCCCTTCGGGGCTCACACAGGGAGAGTCTACCTTGCAAACATGCAGGCCCCTGGCTTTAAAGGTAAGCAGCAACGTCTTGAAACGACCTGTGCTGTTGTGTTCTGCACCAGCTGCAGCTTCCAGAGCAGAATCAAGGGCAGCCTCATATAGAGAAAATTGCAATAGTCCAATCTGGAAGTGACCATTGCATGGGTCACTGTAGCCAGGTCCAAGGGGTTGAGATATGGGGCCACTGCCTGATCTGTCTTAGATGGGAAAAGGCAGACCTGGCAGTGGCAGCAACCTGGGCCTCCATAGTTAGTGAGGTGTCCAGGAACACCCCAGGCTCACCACCTTCAATACCAGCACCAGAAGGGCCCCATCAAAGGTTGGGAGCCCAATCCCCAATCCCCACGACCCAGATACAGGACCTGCATCTTTGATGGATTCAATTTCAGTCTGCTCTTTTGTAACCACCCAGCCACGGCTTATAATGCTCTTTCCAGATTTTCTGGGGCAGAGTCCAGGTGGCCACCCATCAGGCCACCCCCAGCACCACCCTCTGTTCTTGACCTTGGAGAAAGGAGGTCAGCCACTGCAAGGCAAGCCCCCTTATCCCCACATTGGCGAGGCGGTGGGTCAACAAATCATAGTCAACCATATCGAATGCTGCCAACAAATCAAGAAGTATCAGCAGCACTGATCTGCCTTGATCCAGGTATCTCCAGAGGTCATCCACCAAGGCAACTAACATTGTATCCATCCCATGGGCAGGGCAAAAACCTGCATGGAAGGGATCGAGTATATTAGCATCCTCCAGTCTGGAGCTGTGTCACCAATGCTTTCTCCACTACCTTACCCAGGAATTGTAGATTAGACACTGGGTGGTAGTTTGTAAGGACCACAGGGTCCAAACATGGTTTTTTGAGGAGAGGACGAACCACAGCCTCCTTCAATCCCTCTGGGAAGGTTCCTATTGATAGTGACAGATTGATAATCTCCCTCAGAGGGGTCCGCACTTCATCGCCACAGTCCTTCACCAGCCATAATGGACAAGGATCAGGGGGACATGTGGTGGGCTTCACAGCAGCCAGGATCCTGTCAACTTCCTCCTGGGCGAGCAGACTGAAATGGTCCAACACTGGACCTAGAGATGGCCAAGGAGCTTCCAGTTCCCTTATTGTATCAATTGTGGCTGGAAGATAATGGTGTAGTGACAAGGCTTTAGCTGCAAAATGGCTCACAAATGCCTCACAGCCTATACCCAATTCTCTAGCATTTGGGATGCCCTGAGGCAAAGCAGTTAAAGACCGAATTATTCTATATAATTGGGATGGCTGTGAGCTCACAGACGCAATGGAGGTCGCATAAAAATTCTTCTTTTCAGTCTTCACTGCCATCTCATAGGTCTTCATAAATGGCCTAAAGGATGTTCTTGCAGCTTCGTTGTGGGCTTGCCGCCACTTTCTCTCTAGCCACCTTAGCTCCCATTTCATCCACCTTAGCTCTGGGGAATACCTCGGTGCCAATTTAGCTCCCATTTCATCCACCTTAGCTCTGCGGAATACCTCGGTGCCAATTGGTATGAGGGCAAAGAGGTCACTGGGGAGTGACCTCGTCAATGGCTTTAGAAAGACGGTTCTGCCAGTCTTCCACTAGCTCCTCCAATGGGCCACCAGTGGGAATTGGATACCACAGAGCTTCCTGGAACCTACTTGGGTCCATTAGGCTCCATAGGCAAGCATAAATTCACTCACTGCCTAAACAGGGAAGCTTAGGAGTACCCAGATGGGTTTTCAGGGCAAGGTGGTCTGACCACGGTACCTCATCAGCAGTAATTTGGTCCACTGTAATCCCTGAGGCAAAGATAAGATCCAGCATGTGGCCTGCTTGATGTGTGGGAGCCAAAACAAACTGGCAGAGTCCCAGTGCCACCATGGATGACACTAGGTCCCTGGCCTGAGAGGAGGTCTGCATGTACATTGAAGTGCCCCAGAACCAATAGTCTGGAGTACTCCAACACCCAGTCCAGTATGGCCTCCAACAGGCCTAGCAGGGCATTTGCTGGTGCGTTAGGCAGACAGTACACCAGCCAAATGGCCAAACTCTCCTCAGCATCCCACACTAGACCCACACATTCAATGCCAGCAATCTTTGTCTCAGGGAGAGCCCTAAAAGAGAAAGTTTCCCGGATGAGTAATGCCACTCACCCCCTCGCCATCAGTCTGAGATTGGTAGAAGAAGAAGAAGAGATTGGATTTATACCCCGCCCTTCACTTGGAGTCTCAGAGTGGCTTACAAACTCCTTTCCCTTCCCCTCCCCACAACAGACACCCTGGGAGGTGGGTGGGGCTGAGAGAACTCTGACACAAACTGCTCTTTCAGGAACAGCTGTGCCAGAGCTTGTGACTGACCCAAGGTCACATCAGCAGCTGCAAGTGGAGGAGTGGGGAATCAAACCCGGTTCTCCCAGATTAGAGTCCACACACTTAACCACTACACCAAACTGGTGAAGGACTGAGAACCCTGGGGGGAGGGCAGTTGACTCAAGGTGACTGTTTCACCCTCCCTCACCCAGGTTTCAGTCATGCAAGCCAGGTCTACTGCCTGCTCTACCAGAAAATACTGGACAGTGAAGGTTTTATTATTGATAGACCTGGCATTGCACAACACCAATGCCGGAGAAGGATAACCTTTCCTATCCCCACAGCTGGCATCTCTCGAAATGGGACAAAGGTTGGAAGGCATCTGAGCAATACCATATCTCCAACTCCTTCCAATTAACTGCTTTGTCCCACCGCCATACCTCCCTTGCCCTATCAGCACTGGAATCCCGTACCCCAGCATGGCCTCCCCCTTCAGATCTTGATAAAGCCAATGTAACAAAATAGCTTGTGTTCTTGTTTTCATACATTTTTATAATAATCTTTACTAAATGGCTGTGACCTGTTTACGATTGAAGTAAATTGTCAATAATTTTACTTACATTTCAATTTTCATCAGTTTATATTCATCATTCTGGAACAAGCAAATTACATATTTTCAATGCACTGCAGAATCAGTGTTTACCTGGCTGTTTAAAGAAGTAGCCAGCTTTTCAAACCCAAGGCATTGTAGACTTCTGGCTAATGCCTTTAAATGTGACTTCTCTAAGAATTCTTGGTGTTTGTCCAAAATCATATGAATCCTTTTCATCACTTGGACAGCTATGTTGAAATCTTTAGCTCCTTTACCTTGGAAAAGAGGTGGAAGTATTTTATACTTATATTCCAAGAGCTTTTCTTTCCCACTCAGCTCCAACAAGTTAGTTGGAAGATTAGGGTCACATTCTCTGATATGCATGCTTTTCAAGCTACTACTTTATATAGAATTTAAAACAAATCCTAGACCTCTTTCAACTATTTAAAACTATAAGAGGGGGTCTTGCAAGGACTTGAGGGGAGGGACATTTTTTTCTCCCTTGAATCCTCCTTTGCTCCACTTTTCCTTCCAGTTCCACCCACCCACTTAACCTCAATCTTCCCATTTGTCTTGCCTGCCCATTTCCTTCTGGAATAAGTAACAGTCAAAATCTTTAAGACTATCACATGTGACTGTGTGAGCCATTTTAGATTGTGTAGGCAGCCATAGACACTAAATACCTAAAATTGCTGACAAGATTTCCTGAGGTAGTCTTGCTAAGATCTCAGCAATTAGAAAGTGTTTTGTATTGTACTTTATCCCCCACTTTTTAACATTTAAGATTATTCGGCAAACATCTCCCTTAGCCCTGGGTAGGCACATTGTGTGATCTGTACAATGGAGAAATAGGTTGGCCTGGAGATCTCCTGGAATTACAACTGATCTCCAAACCACACTTCCATGGAGAAAATGGCTGCTTTGGAGGGTAAACTCTATTGAATTATACCCTGTTGAGGTTCCTCTTGACTTCAAAGCCTGCTGTCCCCAGTTTCTACTTCCAAATCTCCAGGAATTTCCCAATTAAGAGGTAGCAATCCTATAGCGACACCCATGGCTCTTAGATCTATGATGCATACAGACATAGGATGAAGTCTTTGGAAACTGTTTAATATCAACTCTTATTTTCAGTTTTCCCTGATGAATAGAATGGGAGTGGTTTAGAACTAGGTTTATAAGCAAAAGAACAAACTGATTTAAAAAAAAAACATCTTAGAATATATTGTAACCAGAGATGAACTGATCCCTTAAACTCTGGTCCAAGTGATATTAGCTTTGCTTTAGCTGAAGGATATACCAATGAAACATTTTTAAATTGGCAGATTCTTGACCCAGTATCCAGATTGTGAGTAGGAATTGTGAAACCTACCACTGTAAGATTTCATGATCATTTCTAATGCTAACCAGGAATGCAACCATGGTAGGTTGCCGTGCCAACCTCCAGGTGGTAGCTGGAAATCTTTCAGAATTCTGTGCAATTCTGGTCACCACACCTCAGAAAGGATGTTATAGCACTGGAAAAAGTGCAGAAAAGGACAACTAGGGTCCCGGTCACACGGGCAGGAAACTGCGGGGGGGGGGGAACGTGGCTGTTAGCCCCGGGGCTAAAAACCATGCGGTTGCTCGAGCAGACCTACCTATCGAGGTCCCGTGGTAGGGGGGAGGTGCCGATCACTCCACAGTCCTGCGGCGCAGCAAAGAAGCGGGGCGCAGGGCAAACGGGTTGGTTGTTTTTTTTAAACGCAATTGTACGCATGCTCCCTTGGGTGCGTGTGCGCATCCGTGGAGACTTTGAAAAAACCCACATTTTCCGAGGGGACATGGGCGGGCGCGGGAACTACCTCCGGAAACGGTTTCAGGAAACTAGTACCTCTGAGGTACTAGTTTTTTACTGTGCGTCTTCAGCGGGAAGCCTCGGTTGCGCCACGAAAGCCCGACGCTTCCCAGATGTGCTGGTGAGATCGTGCCCGGAAACTCTGCCTATCTTCCGTCCCTCTAGCGTGGCTAATGCTCCGTGTGACCAGGGCCATAAATGATAAAAGGGTTGGAACACTTTCCCTATGAAGAAAGGTTAAAGTGCTTGGGCTCTTTAGCTTGGAGAAACGATGGCCGAGGGGTGACATGATAGAGGTTTACAAGATTATGCTTGGGACAGAGCAGGTAGAGAAAGAAGTACTTTTCTCCCTTTTTCACAATACAAGAATTCGTGGGCACTCAATGAAATCACTGAGTAGTCGGGTTATAACAGATAAAAGGCAGTACTTTTTCACCCAAAGAGTGATTAACACATGGAATTCACTGCCACTGGAGCTGGTGATGGCTACAAGCATGGATGGCTTCAAGAGGGAATTAGATAAACATAGGGAGCAGAGGTCCATCAGTGGCTATTAGCCACAAGGTATAGATAGGAATTCTCCATCTGGGACAAGTGATGCTCTGTATTCTTGGTGCCCGGGGGGGGCAAAAGTGGGAGGGCTTCTAGTTTCCTGGCACCACTGGTGGACCTCCTGATGGCACCTGGTATTTTTGACCACTGTGTGACAGAGTGTTGGCCATTGGCCTGATCCAACATTGACTTCTCTTATGTTCTTAATTACCTCTGATCTCCAGACTACAGCCATCAGTTCCCCTGGAGAAAATGGCTGCTTTGGAAAATGGACTCTATAGCATTGTACCATGCTGAGGTCCCTCCCCTCCCAAAACTCCACCCTCCCCAGGTTCTATCTCAACAATCTCCAGGAATTTTCCTGCCCAGAGGTGGCATCCCTAATGGTAGGGCCACCTGGAACACTGGATTTTTCCACTTGGAAATGTGACAACCTCAGCTAGTGTGGAAAGCTGGCTACAGCCTTTAGCTTTAGCACTGACAGTTAGTACATGGAATAATGAGGCTCTCAGCTGGAGATGTATCCAGGCAACAGTAATAAAAGAGCTAGGTCACTTCCTCTTCTCTTATTCTGGTCTCAGCAGGGTCACAATCCGAGTAGAGTGCACTGTTCGACCTGCAGCACTGGTTTGGCCCAGCAGGAAAGTAGCAGCCATGCTTAGTGAGAAAGGGTGGCTATGAACCTGATTGTAATCATTACTTTTTATATGTCCCACCATTTAAAGTCTTTTGAAATTATAATTAATAAGATGCTAAACTAGGGATGCTATAACTATAGCCCGCAAATTAAACCACATACTGTACCTTGACTTTTGCAATGTTCCTTCCACACTTCTAAGCAGAAATTAAGTCCTGCCATTTCTGCAATAAATTTCACTGAATTACTCTGACATGTATTCAGAAACTTCTCAAATCTCTTCATTCCAGACGTAAAGTTTGTTTTAATGTCTTTTTCAATTGATTTTTCTAAGGTATGCCATTGATCATCTTCTTTCTTTTCTTGTTGAGCTTTTCGTCTCTTCCTGTTGTCCTCTACAATTTTCTCTGCTTTACTACTTCTCTATAAAGAATAAAACTCACATTTAGAGAGATATTCTGCAATATCAAAGGAAACAATAGCAATGGGTGCAGATTATTCAGAGGGGAAAACAGAACACTGCTAATTAACCCAAGGACCCATTCACAGACTACTGAGCCAATATCATGTAGCGGTTACAGTGTCAAACTAGTTTCTGGGAGACCTAGAGTCAAATCCCCTCTGTGCCTTGGAAACTCGTGGGATGACCTCAACCTAACCTACTTCACAGGAACCATTTCAGGTTCTCCTCAACTCTAGCAACCACTAGTTCCTTGGCCTTAGTATCACTAAATAGTTCTTTGGTCTCTCTAGTTCATTGTGTGATTAAAGGAACCTTGGAAAGGAAGGATTATGATACTGGCCATTTTCCTCTGTGAGGATTCAGCTGTAAAAGCACAATCAACAGCAACTGAAATCAATAGCAATCTTCCCAATATTAATGAAATTGCATACTGTCCATTGATTTAACAATAAAACATTTATTCATGTAGTCAAATATTCTTTTTTTTCCTTTTAAATTTATTAATCAGTACAACAATAACAACAGGAACTAACAAGTAACGAAATAAGAACTAATTAATATGTGCAGTTATGGTTACATATAGTGGAGAACTTCATAATACTTGCCAGGAATGTTATTACCTGAAAATGTGTCATTGTTAAAAACAAATTCTAGGAAAGGAAGTCCTTTTAGGTGTAAATCTTAACATTTAGAAAAAGAGCCATAACAAGAGACTTTATCAGAAATTTTATCCATAGCATAAAAGTCCCAAATCTTCGAATACCACAACGATAAAGATAACTTATTAGAAGATTTCCAATTGCTGACAACAAGAACGTCCACTGCGGTTAATAAAACACAAACAAGCTCGGATCCAGTTCCGGTACGGCGCAACGACGGGTGGCTTTCGGATTGCTCCGACCTGCCCGACTCCCATTAGTTCCTTTTTGAGTCTCCCAGTAGTCGGGAGAGCTCGACCAGCTCTCCTGGAGAGAGGGCTGGAGCAGGGGGCTTGTTCGTGGCAATGCGGGGGGTGACCAATATTGCCCCGAAGCAGGAGTGATCGGCCAGGTAGAACATGGCCGCCATGTTCTACATAGATAAAGCCATCCGTTTTAACCATGCTGGGATTTAAGAGTCGGGAATTAAGATTCATAACAATAGCAGCAACACAGAAGAAGAAGTAAAGGAAAGTGTGAGTACATATACTTTGAAGTTTTAAGGAGAGAAGAAAAATGAAATAGATAAATGTGTCCAGATTTGAGAAGGATAGCGGTTGGGAGACATATGGGAGTTAACTTTGTGTCTTTATTTTTCTTGGGGAAAAGAAGGACTATGCGTAGGCGTTTTTGCCTTTTGCTGTTTCTATTCATCGGCAAGGATCTATAAAGGACAATGGCTGGCAGAAAGGTTACAGGCTAATGAGAACATTGTTTTTGGAACTTGAATAAATTAGCTTGAAGAGTTTGATTGAAATGGCATTTGTAATGAGGATGGAGGAGGAGATTGATGAGAATATGGAGGTGGGTGAGATGATGATCGAACAGTTTCTCAGAGTTCTGAAAGAGGCGGTACAAAAGGGGTGCGAGGAAGCATGTGCAAACTTACTGATAACAACTCATAACATTCAGGTAGAAACAAAAAAAGGAAGAGCAGGAGCAACCCATTGTGAAGGAAACCCTAGATGATCGGCAAAAGGAGAACGGTGACTATATGGCAGAAAATCTGGGGACTCTACAAGAGAAAAACCATATAGAAACCCAATATCCTTTAACTGAAATAGTAAGAAAGAGACCAAAAAAAAAATCTTGTGGAAAGTTAGAATTGCCAAAAGGAAATAAACAACGACTGAAAACTGAAAGAGAAGGAAACAGAAGGATAAAAAGAAGGAAATAACGGGCTTGGAAATTCAAAGGAGACAACAAAATATGGTAACTAGAGTGGGTGAAAACCAGAGAGGGGAGAAAAGGAAATCAGGGCACACATAAAGAAAGAAGACATGTAGATCTGCTGTGGCAGAAAAGTAGATTACAGATGTTTAGGAGGAAAAATAAGTTATATAAAAAGATGGAAGGATTGGTTGTACACTACTGACATATGACTAGCTCGAAAAATGACCTTAAAGTTATTTATTTATTTATTTATGTCCTTTCTGTTGTAAATTAGTGGTGATTAAGAAAGCCTTATTATGTGTAATCTAAAGATAAAAGATGCTGGAAATAATAGGGATGTTGAATTGTTTAAAGCCATTTAATTATTTAATTATGTTAGAATATTATGGTTAAGTACTAATTAATTTTGATAATAGTTCAATATGATTTTGAGTGATAATATGATTTTAAGTTAAAAATCAGTATAAAGGTATTAATATATTGTTAGTAAAAGTAAAATATTTAAAAAGTTCTAAGATCAATTATATTAAAAATAATTAATTGGCAGATTAGTGGAATAATTGTTAATATAATATGGTGTGGTTAATTATTTAATTGTGTTTCATGGTGTTAGAATGTTGTGTTATAACGTTGTTCTAATTAATTTTGATAACAGCTTAGCATGATTGTGTTCGATAAAGGTTAACTTTGTGATAAACAAAGATAGATAAAGACCTGGCAGACTATAACTGGAAGATATTGGTGTAACTAAGTGGAAAATCTTCATTTAATAAATAGAGTTAACTTTATAGCTAAGTTTGATATAATGGTTCCAACAAAATGATAAATTAATGTAAAGGGTGCAGAGATTGATTGAAAAGTTAAAAGGGTAATAAAAGAAAAAGACTTAAAAATGTCAACATTAAGCCCTGTACCCATACTAGAAGCAAGGAACTGGCAGACTACTGGAGGATGTGCAAGAGTTAGAACCCTGCAAGGTGAAGATAATAAGGAATATAAAAAGCGATTATGAATGTCTTATACTGCTGATATGAATTTACAGCGTAGTTCTGAAAATGTAGTATATAAATCTTAAAGGAAATAGAAATAGAAGTATCTACGCAACACAGAATTGATCTTAAGGCTGAGGATAAGAACAAAATATTTATTTTTTGTCTGGTCTGTTTGTCACCCTGTGTTGCTGAAAAGAAAATCGCTATCATAGGTTTTTGTATGTTATCTTGTTGATGTTCTTGTTTATATGTATGATATATTGTTTAAAAAAACACACACACAAACAAGCTCTTGGTGAAGTCTCGGAACTTGATAATCCCGCCAAAAATACAATAGAACAAGTTCAGGAAGTTGTGGAATGGTGAAACCTGTGATATCCTTAATATAAGAAATAACTTTTGTCCAAAACCGGTGAACTGTCACACAGGACCACCAGCAGTGGATAAAGGTACCCGGTCCCCCCGAGACCTCCAACATAGAGATGAGTACTGATTTGAGATTTTGTGAAGTCTAGCGGGTGTAATAGACCATCTGGTTAAAAGTTTATAACTTTGTAACTGAATATTTAAGAAGTGGGGTGTAAGAGAAGGGGACAGCCATATTTTCCCCCCAATCTTTAGTCATTAGGGTAGTAGCACAATCAAGTAGCCAATAGTTTTGGTAGCTTAAAGGTTGTTTAAGGTTTGTTGAAATCAGTTCTTTGTAAATAAGTGAAATGTAGCTTTTAAAAGATATCTGGTCTAGTTTTAAGAGACGTTCAAAGAGGGTGAGTGGTCTACTTAGATTTGAATGCGCACTTAAACACTCAATCAGGTGCTTGACCTGCAAATATTCAAACCTGGGGAGAGAGCAATTATACTTGTTTTCTATTTGATTTTTATCAGCTATTATGTTATTTTGAAGAATGGTAAAAAGATGTGTAATGTTTCTATCTTTCCAGATTTTATATGCACTGGGTGATTGCCCTGGAACAAACCAAGATAAGCCAGTAAAGGTCATTACAGACAAAATTGATGGAGTGAAGAGATTTTTCCATCTGTCCCAGGTCTGGAGAGAATTCGATAAAAATAAGTTCTTTGAAATAGACTTTGGTCTGTTTGAATGTGTTTCTCATAGAACTGATCAAAAAGGGATGGACCCAAGGTAAGAGTCTTCTAAGGATTTCCAGTCAGTTTGATATGATGTACTGTAATGTTTGAGTAAGCCCAATAAGGTTGTGGCTTTGTAATATAATAATAGGTCTGGTAAAGTGAGACCACCTGATTTGATTGGTCTCTGTAAAGTATTATATGGTACGTGAGATAAAGCAGAATTCCAAATAAATTTAGTGAGTAAGTTTTTCCAGGTTTTAAAGGATGATTTAGGGATCATCATAGGAATGGTTTGGAATAAAAAATTTTTTTGAAAATATAAAAGGTTTTATAAGTTGTGTTCTTTCTATCCAGGCTGACAGGGATTCACTTTGGCGAGATGGTAAGTAATTAATAAGTTTGTTGAGATGTAAGAAATTATATTTAAATAAATCAGACAAATGCAATGGTATGTGGATTCCTCGGTATTGCCAAGATTTGGTTACCCAGGAAAAGTTAAAGTGATCTGTTATGTACTTCCGTTGAGTTTCTGTTAATCTGATAGAATAAAGTAGCATTTTGGTTTGGTTGATTCTAAGGTCTGAAACCAGGCCAAACAATTTTCGTAATAAGTCTAGCGCTATTAAGGTTTTATCTGGATGGGTTGCGTAGATCACAATATCGTCGGCGAATAAACTAATTTTAATTTGTTGCTTCCCCAGTGAAATATCAAAAATCTGTGGGTGAAGGCAAATGGCTTGAGCCAAAGGTTCAATAACAAGGGCAAAAAGGAAGGGCGAGAGTGGGCACCCTTGTCTCATACCTCAGGAAAGGAGAAAGTCTTTGGAAATGGAGCCATTAATACTAAGATGGGCCCTGGGTGACTGGTATAGTGTGTGTATCACCCTTTTACAGTTAGGGCTGAAGTCAATAGAATCTAGGACCTCCTCTGAGAATTGTGGTACCACTCTGTCAAAAGCTTCCTCTATGTCAATAGAGAGAATAAAAGAAGAGTCGATCTGGTTA